TCCTCAAAGTTTTCTGGCCGGTATCTCTCCTCCTACCCTGGACTGGATAAAAAATGCCGCCAGGTTTTGGGCTGAAGATGCACCCCAGGTTCACATTCCCTCTTCCTACCATCCACTGGATGTCGGTTTGTGATGGATCAGGTGTTGTTTTGGTTGGAAATGCGAGCAAGTGGAGATGAATTTTGCTACGGAAGATTGTCTTCCCTACCAATTCCTGTTTTGAGGTGAAGAGGTAGGTAATCCTCTGCTTACCATGGAACTGTTGTACAATTCCAGACACCACTAGGTGTTGGATGAGGTCAAACTACCACTACGGTCTGTCTGGCCCTATTCACTCGACACCCAGGGTCCCATTAATCAGTAATATTTGTTATGGGATTTCTTCATGTTTTTCTGCTTTTTATGTTCACAACACAGTAATAAAAGAGCGAAGAGTATTCCTGGATCAGATGTAGAGCTGTTTCCCGCTGAGGTGTGATATTTTCTTTTCTGGTTCCACACCTCATGGTCTCTCTTTCGGTGCTTCCTAAAGGGGGATAATTTTTTCACCACCCCTCTACAAGTTTATGGTGAGATTCCAGCTATTTTGTGAGAAGAGGTAAGATATCATATCAGAGGTTAACATTTTTCTAAACTGTGTATGTATTTCTGATAAATACTTACCTTCTCTCACATTTCCCACCTGGCCTTCCCACTTCTGGTGATATGTGGTGTAGGTCCTCTGACCAGTTAACAAATACAAGTGTGGAGAGAGTGCTGATTATGATAGGGGTTGTGTTGTGCTCCTATTGGTGGAGAGCTGCTGCATACTTATATACATGTGGATATGCTAAAGCAGGAGGTGGAAGGCTGGTGATGAGTGTTGAAAATTTGCACAGATAAAGGGCAGTACTAATTGAGAAAAGCTATTTTATGAGAGGAGGTAAGTACATATTGGAAATACCTTTTCAGTTTAGGAAAATGCACTTTAGCCAAATACAAGTCTCTTATCCAAGAATACTAAAGCCATTCTTTCTGTAGACTTTTTTTATTTACATTTACAATATACAATGTTATATAGAAATCTGTTTCCTACACTGTGGGCAAAAACCGTTTACACATACATAGTGAAACCATTCAGATGGGTTTTCATTACTGTGTTTGACCATATTGCTCTGAGTAGGCTTTCTACAAAGGCACCACACTGCATTCTCAGTGTTTTCATCACATGTACGCACTGTCTATGTGTCCAATTTGGATATCAATAACTCTGGAAGTACATGATTCTTAAAGACAGTTTCACATTGGCTGACAAAATGTAGCTTACCCTGATTGGAAGTTATTATTATATAGTGAAATCAGATTAATATCCCAAAATTATTAATGATGGATTAAAACCACTTTCATCTTTACAAGTATTGTAATAAATTAAAATGGTCACTTGAAAAGTATTGACAAAATGTAAATACATTCATGTAAATATCATGAAGACTAAATGACTATAAACATTACCACTGACACTTATTAACCATACAAGCAGACTAAGGGTGGCCCTGAAACATATGATAATACAAGGAGCTAGCAATAAGGGTGTATTTTAAAACGTGGCTTTTACAAATTAGAATTTACAATAATTTACCTGTCCCTATACAGGTACTATACTTGAAGTACTACCATTCCCTTATCATTCTGAACCCCAATATATATATATATATGTATGAAAAAATTCATATCTACCTCTTTACTAAAAAAGTTGTTTCATTGGCAGGTCTGGTTTGTGGAGGAATTTATAGTAAAACCCATTTTGACTGCCACTTCCATGTGGATAAACGATTGCAGTTACATGGCTGCACATTTCTCCGAAGCTTTTTTCCAACACATCCTTTTAAATTTACTGACATTGTAGGCTTAAGGTTGGATAATTAAAAAAGTAAAAAGATCAGGTAAATAAACTTTTAACTTGCATTTGGTTATACTGCAATTACTGATTTCTAACTAACCAGATTGAAGAAAATTATCAATATGATATAGATTATTAGTGTAGATTTATTTATTTTCTGCTATTACACCCTAGCAGCCACTCATTCAGTGGTATTATAAAATGGATCATTTATTTTTACAAGTTGTGATAAATGTATATAAGACACTCATACTTTTGAATGTAATACAATATAAATATATATAATAAATGGCAATATTATGAAGCCTACATTCATTAAGTAAAGTGATTCAATGATACTGACATGCATATCAATAGGAGAACTCCATGCAATGACATTTTTAAATCATCCTTGTTATTTCTATAAACAATAACTTGGACAAAACTATTAAATTGGACTTGCCCTGCCATACAGGTTCAGTGGTCATAGTATACACTCCATTTTCTTGATGACACACACACCTATGTTTGGTGAGACTGGTCTCTCACTCTCTGCAGTGGTGTCACCTTAGCTTTAGGAAACAGTATGGACTTATACTGGACACCTCGTGATAAAATATCTGGTCCACATAACTGCTAATGACATGTCTGAAAAGTACGTACGAAATAACATTAGATATTGCAATGACAAGTACAGTTTCATAAAGTGCTTATTCTTCTATAAACTTTGCTCTCCCACAACCCCATAAAACTAATAAGTATCTCTGTACTTACTTGCATGCCATTAAAGATCTGTATGCTTTTAGGCTGTCCTTTGTGTATACTTCTGGATTATCACTGAGATGGGAATAAGTATTGCCAAATGTGGTACCGAGCCATCTGCTCGTATCATCTATTCACCTGAAATCAGATTTTTATGGGTCTAGTAACTGTTCAGTCCCTTTTTCATAAGTATCTATATACTTACTTGCATGCCTTTAAAGATCTGTATGCTTTTAGGCTGTCCTTTGTGTATACTTCTGGATTATCACTGAGATGGGAATAAGTATTGCCAAATGTGGTATCGAGCCATCTGCTCGTATCATCTATTCGCCTGAAATCAGATTTTTATGGGTCTAGTAACTGTTGAGTCCATTTTTCATAAGTCGGTTTCTTTTAATTGAGCAAATATGCTGAACCCTAATGTAATTATCACAGTTGTGATCTGCACTTTTGGAAATTCCTGTCATGGTGCTATTTTTGTTCTGATTCACTTTTGCCAACCAGCACCCAGTATATGTGCAAAAATGATGCCAAATATTGATACTTGTGATTTAATATATACAATCCAAACTTGTTTATTGGATGCAAATATATAAGAATCCATTTTAACTTCCAAAATGTAAACTATTTCTTAAGTTATATATAAAAACAAGTTCAAATTGATGACAATAAAATGCTAATTTTGTGATAGCAGTTAATAAAATACCATTGTGTTAATCTGGATGCATTTCAACGTCGATTCATTCTAAATAGATGTGAAAGTTTTTTATCATTATTATACTTGCATAATATCATACGTGTAAACTTTGTAATATCTAATGGATAGCAAACTGTCTGGGATATTTTACACTGATGACATTTTAAACTCATCTATACTGGGGTCTTCACACCAGGCAAGAAGGAGGCCTCAGCATGGAATCCAGGATATTGTCAGTGAAAATATCTTGCATGTAGAAAACAAAAGTTTGGAGACAGCTTGAATGGGTAATGAAGAAAACATTACAAATGTACAAAGTTTTGACAAATTATGTCATCATCAGGTACAAGTAGTTTACAGAGATACATGAATATATATACAGTATGGAACAAAGAGGTCACATGACCAGAGATTGCTTAACAGCTTAGTAAAGATATCTTGGTACCCCGAGGTGTTGATTTATAGTAGGGCTATTTTGTTAAATTAAGATAGTTTCCTTTATTTTGAGTTTGTTGATATTTGGTTCTATATTTAACATTAAAACATTCTTTACAGATATACTGGTTTTTGAGTTGCAATGGTGGAAAACATGGGAGAGTTTTTTTATATGTTCAGTGAATCTGGTTTCCAATTTTCTTCTGGTTTCTCCAAAGTAGAATTCTGGACTGTTATTGCACATTGTTTTATACGTTGGTATTGTGTGATTCTATATAATTTTTATTTAGTAATGAACTTAATTTAGGGCTAGGTTTTTGATAGAATTTGAAGTCAACAGGAATTTTATGTTTTCTCCAAGTGTTGATTATTTTTGAACTGATTTCAGGAATAAATAGTAAACTGCAGTGTAATATTATGTTGTTGCTTGGTGGTTCTGATGGGTGTGTGGAAATTTGTTGGTGTGAATGCTTTATAATGTTGATTTTATTCATCTACATAATCAGTTGAGCAGTCTTAAAGTTGTATCTACAAGGTTTTTTAGCATATTGTTTTTTTGTTTGGATTCATAGATGGTTTTGAGCTATGTGTCAAATCTAATAATGTTGAGGTTAAGAAAAGACAGTTGTTTGTTATTTTCATGTTCAATGGTAAATTCAATGTTAGGGTGTATGGTGTTCAAAGAAAGTGTTTTTGTGTTCGGTAGGAGTGAAACCAGCAAAAGTGTCATTGACATATCTGTACCCATTCAAGCCATCTACAAATTCTTATTTTCTAAAAAGTGGGTTCCTCTTCATCAAATCTTACAAGTAATTGTTTACCATTCATAATGTTTCTTTATCTCTTTCACTACTAGCAACAAAACCCTACAATTGACCTGAGAACAACAGTTAAGAAAAGTCATCAATTTATGGTGATTTCCTAGAAATCTACTTCATGTACATATTAAGATAGTATTTTATTATGGCAAACTATTTTTGTTGTTGTTTAGTTTCTAACTTCAGAACAGGTTTCTTTTAAACAAAATCCTGAATGTTATCATGGGTATTCACAGAATTTATACCAGGTGGGAGCAAGACTTGCCCCATCCGGTGGACACCCTTCAATGTGATACTACTACTTCAAGTATAAAGTAAATACACACAGCAAAGTTTATGTACATATCAGTGTCTTGTCCATTCTGAAGTTTTATTTTTAAGTAGCTAGAATTTTACTAGCAATACATTTAAATTTGCATATTTATTCCAGGATCTTACCGAGGCCTTATACCAACATTTCACAGACATTGAAAACCAAGAGAGAATTGCATCAGAACTGGAATACGATCTGCATATTTTAGGTGTTGACTTAGATCCTGTTCTTATCAAGAGATCATGTGAGAAAAACTCATTCCCCAATAATATCACTTACAAAGAAATAGATATAATGGAAGGAGACCAATGCTATACTACTTTTAGAAGTTATTTAAATAACTTTGGCAAGTCTATGTTTGACATCATATTTTGCTTTTCTGTAACAATGTGGGTGCATTTAAATCATGGTGATGTAGGACTGAAAAAGTTCCTTAAGGATGTTAGTGGTTTTACACAATACTTGCTGCTTGAGCCCCAAGAATGGAAGTGTTATAGATCTGCTTCACGAAGAATGAGAAAATTAAAATGCCCAGCATTTCAGAATCTTGAAGACCTCCAGATGAAAGAATCTGTTGTAGAAGACATTGCCTGTTATTTAAAAGAATGTGGAATGGAAGAAGTTAAGAACTTTGGAACAACAGAATGGGGCCGAAAAATAATACTTTATAAAAAGATAAAAGTGTAAGTGAAGATGCTTCTTTACAGTTGAAATATTATAAATATCAACACATTAATATCAAAATTTTAGGGCAAAACTATTAATCAACTGTTTGTAAACTTCTGATTTCCACTTTTATTCAGCATTTGTAAAACAATGTATGTTTTCTAACATACATTACTTTAAATATATCACCAATTATGAACAATTTTGTTGTCAGTTGGAAATGTAAAATGATGAAAAACTATACTCAGTTCCAAGGTTTTTCATAAGGTAAATACACGTGTAAGAGAGTAAGTTAGCAGGCTTACTTTGTATAATTAAAAGTTTAATCAATGGGCAAAGATGTTGCAACTAAGTAAAAATATGAAATACGAGTTCAATGTAGTACTAAACATTAAAAAGAAAAGAAAAAAAAGAGACATAAATGGACAACTGTTGTTCAACTCGTCATTTGAAATTGCTTCCGATATATTTTTCCACCTCTAAACATCTAGATCTGTTGTGTCTACAGGTACAGATTTTAGTGCACTTTTATACTTTTAAATGGTAAGAACCAAAAATAAATGTGCTTTAAACCAGTGGTTCCCAATGAATATGCTTTGTTGGTCTTTAGAAACAAACACTGAAAAAAGGAGAGAAAATAATTCACCCAAAACATTAGTTTTTTGTAAAATGGATAAATTGTACACGTATTATGGATAAGTCAAAAATGGTTTCCTTCTTAGTTCATGGTAATATAAGTGAACCCCATAACTTTCACTTGAAAGATTCTTGAAGAAGCTATAATAGGAACAACACTGTAGGCCTATATACTTGTAATGACCTGCAAGCATTTCACAAATATTTTAATGGTCCATGGAGTGTAAAGATGGGAACCATTGCTTTAAACCACCTGAGGGTATTGCTCGTTAAAATATACTAAAAACAACAATTTACACACATTATTTTCCAAAATTACTGTATTGTTATATATTAAATTGACTTGAACATTTAAAACTGGAACATACTGATGAACACGAAATTATAGCATTTCCAGTAATGAAGTACAGCATGTAAAACAATGAAATATGAATATTTATAAACAAAAATAGTGGAATATTTCCATACCTACTGTTATAGCTATAACCTAGTCATTCAGCAATTGATCTTTTCACACTTACTATATGCATTATCTAGTGATGCACCATAATCTGAGGGGTTACTTTTAACACTTTTTGTGCAAATTATTTTGATCATTATAACTAGCCATAAAAGTTCAGCAATGCATTAAGACATTAAAATCTTTATTCTTACTATTTTACAGATGAATTCTGATGATAAAATATTTCTGAGAAAGAAATTACATTGACAGAAATTTTCAAACGTGGTTGTCATCACATTATAATCACTTGTTTCCATAGTAATAAAACTTTCTTTTCTTTTAACTGGGGAAGGAAGTGTGTATGTGTGGTAGGAAATTTAGCTTAAGTGTGAAGTATGTTACGTACATACAGATTAAGAAAGAAAAACTGAACCTGCTTGTTGGATGACTTTATACTTTAGCAAGTTATATGAATGAACTGTATGCAGAAAATAGGCTGTCTGGGATTACTTTGAACAGTCTGACAGTGAAAATGAAGACAGTGGATCAGAGGAAGAACCTGATAAAAGTTAGAATATGAAACTAGGTGCAGGATGCAATTCTGCAGATGAAGCTGGTCATGGTGACTCAACAGTAGGACATGCTATAGGATCAGTAGCAAATTATATAAAGGAATGTTCCAGCTTGGCAGTATGTGATGGTTGATTATGAAAGTTCCAAATTTCCTGGAAAGGTTACCTCTGTAGAAAAAGATGGTGCCATTGCCAGTGTTCTTACTAAGTACAAGGCATGAGGATGGAGGTGGTCAAAGGTTAAGGATGAAATACTGTATTTTTGGAGAGATATCATCAAAATTATACCTGTATAAAATGTGAAACCTGTCGATAGAAGGGGATTTAACAGGGTTTCACATATGGAAGAGATGTGCTGTTAATAGTATAATGTGTTTTTGTGTTTTGCCAGTCACTATATGGGTTTAAATGTCTCACATTCCTTCAGAAAGTTTACTACATTTTTTAAAACACACAAGTCTGTTCACAATAACCCCATATACAAGTTGAGGTTGCTCAGTAATTTATAGAAGTGTACAAAGTGGCCCCACTCTTGGGGTTATTTTAACTTATAAATTATGTAGAAATTGAGTTTACTGTAGTATCTTTCAAGTGACAAAGTTTTCCCACTAAAAAGTGTTCAAAGTAACCCCAGTTTATTTCATAACTACATCCTCCTCCTTATATGACCCAGTAATTCTATTAGTGACCTGAAATACTGAAAACAGTCTTGTTATAGAATTTTCTCTGCTGATGATAAAAATGATTAATCACAGAAACATGTTCTCAGGAAACTTGTACTTAAAATGTACCTCCCCCTCTTAGAAATGTTTCTTTAAGCCATAGAGTTTATAGAAAAGTCAGTCCCCAATTAGGTTTTAAAGTATTTATTATATTCTAAGAAAAAATAAGGTGACAAAGTCATTTGACCCATCAATTCATACCTGATCATCAAACAAAGAATAGGAAATTCCAACCCAAGTAAGTGTGATCTTTTGCATCTATATACATATCAACATAAATTTAGGCAACAAGTTAATACCTCATCATCAGACCATCAGTTTTACAAGTTAGTAATTTTTAATAAAGCAATAATTTCCTCTAGAAACATTTCCGAATCTAAGTTTCCAAGCTTATGCTTTATGTCCCATATTTATGCCATAATCACAAACTTTACTAGCTGATAATTAAAAATATTTCCCATGAGAACCTATCCAAGTCTAACAATTTAACAACAGGATCAAATCATCTCCAGCAATTTTTCACTCCAACAAAAGTGTGCACGTGTTTAATCCTCCTTTCATGGCTTAAACTTCTTATTTGCGTGTTCTTCAGCCCTTCTACATCTTTTTACAGAACAATGTAATATGAATACGACAGTATTTTTCTTGTATCTTAAACTTAACATAGTATTTATTATGTAAAAAAACATATTTTCATATGAAATGTTCAAAACTTCATACAACAGTTCCTTTTAACAATGTTTCAGTTTGATGACCAGATTTTAAGTTAATGAAATATATATATAGCTTGAGACTTCCAATCACCAGACTTAACTTTTTTATTCCATGCTGTAGTTAGCTTACAGATCATACTTTCCATGCTGTAGTTAGCTTACAGATCATACTTTCCATGCTGTAGTTAGCTTACAGATCATACTTTCTATTAGCATTAACTATATAAAGGAATAATTGTTTAAAACTTGTACAGTAGTTGATTCAAAACTTACTAAAAAATATTTACTAAACCAGTTTTATTCAGCTATTTTTTGGGGGGCTAATGACTGCTGTTGTTGCTGTTCTTGTAATTTTTTCATCAACTCATCATCTTGCATAGACATGCTGGTAAGTTTTTTACCAATTCGTTCATGAACCTCTAGATATTTTGCTACACACCTATCCAAACACACTGATTCCCCCTTAGAAAGTTCAGCATCTTTATATTTAGGAGGAACACACTTGCGATGACAAGCTGCTGTCATACGATTATACATGTCGGACATCATCTCAATTTCTAGTTCTGCCACCAGCTGCATTTTTGATGGATCTAGCTGTGGAATACCAGGTGGTCCTGCTGCCATGGTAACTAAACTGAGTTTTTAATGCAAAATTAACTTGTTTTCAGGCAGCAAAAAATTTAAGGTTGTGAAAAGTTCAGAAAAAGCTAAAAAATCTTTAAACTATTTTCAACAGGAATGTAAATATGTTTTCCTTCTTAGAGTACAATTTGAATAATAATTTATAAAGTTTCAATGTGCAAGATGATCTGGTAAACTTTCTTACACTTAGTTCACACTTTTCTGTCATTGGGCTTCTTCATTCATTCTCATATTTTCATTGCCTCATATTGATGCTTATCAACAGACTGCTTTGCTAAAATCAATAAGCCAACACTTGTGGATAATATAAAACCCTGGAATAGAAATAGAAAATTAAACTTTTTCAAAGTTCAACTTTTGTTGTTGTTGAAAAGAACTGCACTTTTGTATAAGTATTTAGGTATTAAAAACATGCATTTATTTCCATGAAAAAGAGGTTTAAACAATTCTAATGAGGCTTAGTTCTCACACTTTTAAGTGAAAGAAAAATGTGTTCTTTGTAAATCATGAAAAAAGGAATAGGAGCAAAATTAAACTTATTAATGACAATATAGTTCTTTAGATATTTAGCTGCTGATGCACTTATTTTAAATGTTCAAAAAACATCAGACAGAGGATTTTCCATTATCAAGAAGTGTATAAATATGCAAACTTATTATTAAAAATTAGTTTTTAAAGATACAAGGTATATTTTTAATATTCATATAAAAACTGGTAATAATTCTTCCAGGCATTCTGCATTACACTATATATTCTAAATTTTGTCAATTAACATATGTATAGAAAACTAAAAGGTTTATTCTGTAGATGGGTTATCTTAAGTGGATAGATTAAATTCTCTTATTTTCCCATAAGAAAAGAATGGTAAGAGATGTTCTTATTGAAGTTTATAAGGTTGATAAGGATAAAGGTCTCCGATTTCTTTGTGATGTATCCTGAAGATGAAATAATACAAATTTAAAATTTGGAAAGTACAGACTACACTCCAGTTTACACTTATTTTTCTAATAGGTTGACTACCTTACAGAATGAGTAGTTAAGGTTGGGACCTTAAGATGAGAATCTTATGAATTTCTCAAAGCTAGAGGATGGATTTAAATTCTTACTTTTCCTTAGGGGTAGATGTGGAAGGACATACCAAATGGTTCCTTGTTGTCTGTATGTCGTATTAAATATATTAATAAAAAATCATACACAATATAATGTGTGCTTTGTATAGATAAATTTGAAAATGCATATATCAGTATCTGTTCTGCAAGAAGGCCTAAAGGAGATGGTTATTACATCTACAGTGAAAAAACGGTAATTTTAATAAAAATGCTAGACCTATCTGGTGAATAGGGCGAGACTTAGCATTTAAAACTGATTTTGTAAGGTGAAGTACATAATTGAAATGAAAAAAGATTTACAACTGTACAAACTAATAGAAGGTTTGTATTATGCTATGCTAGGGAGAAAAAATATTAATTTTCCTT